GAAGTATGTCTTAAATTTAGCTGGTCCTGTATTCAAGGATAAAATTATTTTGGCATTTAGAAGCGAGTGGTTCTGCTCAGAGTTTTGAAGCATGTCTATTGTTATTTTTGTGTATTTTGAGAATGTGGGTAATGACTCAGCAGCCTGGAGCCCAGCTACAGTCAGTGCTGATTAAGCTTAGATTACTTCGTCATACGGACACACTTGAATGTTTCCATCTGTAGGTCTAAGATTCACCGGAACATATGCCTAAACTCTTTATATGTCATTGCCTTCTCTTGGCTAACATTCATTTTCTTTATTTAATAAACTGCTGTTGTTTATCACACACTGATTCATTGTCATTCAAGTGCTATCCTGTGCAGCAGTCTTCACTCAAAACCCCCCAAATAAAGTCTGTGATTCATTTATTCATTTCATCTTTAATGACTCTTTTTTTTTTAGCTTGTTTCCTCTGTTTCCTGTAAAACACTCTTTATAAATAATTCTGGATGAACTTGAGTTGACCCTCTCGAAACACAGGTTTACAGTGTACTGTACAAAGAACACATTTCATCCTTACTCATTTCTCTTTGAAGAATCTGAATGTGAAACAAACAAAAATCACAATCAAAATGTAAAATCAGTATAACGCCGCCACCACTGAGCACCGGGGTCTTCAACAGACCCTAACTGTCACAGTGTGTTAAGCATATGCACACCAGACACTTATGTGTCCCGTTACAGCAAATAGTCTAAAACACAGGAGAGCAAAATATAATTAGTGATTTTCTTGTTTCTGAGGTTATGTTGCCAATATTTTGCAAAGTACTGCATTTTGTGAGTCTTGTCTGTGTTTGTTCATGACAAATGATGCCATGTAATATTAAGTATAAAGAAATATAGTTGAGAAAGTGAGCATAACAAGAGAGGATGAGATGAAAGCATTGCTCTGATGCTTCAGCCATCCCCAAGTCCTCATTTGACTTCATCAGTCTGTCTGCTTTTCTTACTTTTTGGTAAAAGGCAGCTTACACAACACAGTCTTTATGCACATCTTTGTTTGGTCAGACTCACATACACTCTTTTGAAAAGGAAAATGCACCTTTTTCAGTTTCAGGGTTTTTCAGGGTTTATAATCTTCAAACAACCTCAGTAGAAAAACATATAACATGTTACATGGTGTCATTATTCTTTTAACAAAAGCCAAACCAAACTGAAGAAGCAGTGTGTGAAAAACTAAGCATAGCCCATGCTTCACTGGCACCTTTAGGACCAATAATAAATTTGCTGTATTACTTTATCAGTCTCTCACATCACTGTGGAGGAATTTTGGTCCGCTCTTCTTTACAGCCTTGCTCGAGCTCTCAGAAAGGACTGCTGCAGCATTTCAATCGGGTTGAGGTCTGCACTTTGAGCCACTGGAACACCTTGATTCTTTTCTTTTTCAGCCATTCTGTTGTAGATTTGCTGCTGTGCATGGGATTTATTGTCCCGTTGCATGACCCAATTTAGGCCAAGCTTTAGCTGTTGGACACATTTCACTGTAGAACACTTTGTTATACAGAGGAGTTCATGGTCGACTCTGACTGAAAGGGGCCCACGTTTTGCGGCTGCAAAACAAGCCTGAATCATCATCCCCCCACCACCATGACTGACAGTTGGTTTGAAGTGTTTGCACTGATATGCTGGGTTTGGTTTTTGCCTAATACAGAGCTGTGCATTATATGGTCTCCACATTGGTCTGTTATGTCCAAAGGACATTGTTCCAGACGTCATGTAGTTTGTTCAGATGCAACTTTGCAAGCCATAGCTATGCTGCCAGGTTCTTTTTGGAGAGAAGAGGCTTTCTCCTGGCACCTCTTCCAAACAAGCCATACTTTTTCAGTCTTTTTTATCTGTACTGCCATGAACTTAAACATTTAGGATGCTAACTGAGGCCTGCAGAGCCACAGTTGTAGCTCTTGGGTTTTCTTTTTTGCAATTTGTCTGAGTATTGCATGAGCTGACCTTGGGATGAATTTGCTGTAATGCCTACTCCTGGGAAGATTGGCAACTGTCTTTAACATTTCTCACTTGTATATAACCTTTTTTCACTTTCAGAACAGTGTAGTGAATTCCACATTTTACTAACAAACAAAAAATCCCAAGTCCGATCCCAGGAGGAGATGCAAATCCGTTTGTGGCTGCGTCAGGAAGGGAATCTGGAATAAAAAAACCTGCCAAACCAAACATGCATAGCAACCCACTAGTGAATAAGGGACCAGCCAAAGGTAGCAGTGGGACTGTAGAATAAGGAACTTAAGTTTGTTTAAAAATGGCCTCATAACCCTTCATGGGTTGATGGGCAGCAACAATGGCTCCTCTAAGATCAATGCTGATGTCTTTCCTCCTTGGCTTTACATTAACACACAACTGAATGCTCTGGACCCGAAAACTCAAACCTTCTCCTCTTACAGAGGTGCTCACACGTGCTGATGATCAGTTCATCAAGTGCATTTAGCAGCACCTGGCTGCCTGTTTATCCTCTGAATTCCTTACGGGTGTAATGCTTTGTACATGGTGGCTTCGTTTTTGTTGAATAAATAACATCACGGTGTAAAATCTAAATATCTCATGTTCTAGACCAGGTTATATCTTATCATATCCTGATATGTTAAAATGATCGAAATGAAAGAGTGTGTATTTTCTCGTTCACGTGACTCTATTGGTACACTATCAAATTCTCACAAAGACAGTAAAACATTTGCACCTCAAAAAAGTTCACAACCACAACCAACTTCAGAAAAAAAAACAGCGTTACAGAATTACGTAAAGCACCGAAAAGATGTCTGACGTAAAAGATTTGGCTGAGCACCTTTAAAAGCAATTCCTTTTTCTCTGTTGATTGTGAGGAGCTATGTCCAAATATACACCCACATAATAAAACTGCACTTACACCCATATTTTAAAAGATTTTTACATGCGCAATTTGTTTTTCATGGCAAAAGCTGCAGCTATTAGGCCAGTATTCAAATGAGGCATTTGGCAACAAACCATATTTCTCTCACAAGACACTAGCGTTGTTTTTCCCCGACCTAGCTGTATACAACTATTACAAGTACAAATTGGACACAGCTTCATGGAATCCTGAAAACTGGGCAGAGAGTGACTGGTGGGCAGATGGGCAGTGGATAAAGTCTTTTATTTCCACCATTGAGCAGCTCCACACCTTGGATAATAGGAGCCAATTCAGTTCAGCCCATAAAAAGGTTTATCAGTTCCTGTCAGCATGCCCTGCAGGGGTGAGGCGACAAATAACAAGGTAGTGAAAAAGAAAAGTGGTAGGAGTCCAGCTCCCTAACCTGTTCCCCTGTGCCAATGGCCATCTGCATTTTCAAAAAACTCTCATTTCCGCGCATGACTCGAGATAGGAGATTAGAGAGTTAAAAGTCATGTTTGAGCAGCATTAGAAGGAGATACTGAGGTCACGTGATGTGAAGATGCTGCACTCCGTGCATCTTAGCAACGTCACAAAATGTCAAGCACGTTGTAGGCTGCCTGGCAAAAGAGGACTCGCTGTGAGCGTTACGTTTCACCGGATGGTCGATTTTAGAAAATGATTCGATTAAAATTAACATCGTATTTACTGATGTATACAAAAAATAAAGATACAGAGTTAGAAGTTGTGTGTTTTAATCATTTGACTGAAAAACTGCTTTGGCAACAAGGTTAATGTTCTTTTGATATTTATATTGCTAAAATAAAATGAGCGTATTTAAAATGTTTAATGATTCAGTCAAAGAGGTACACACAGTCTTCTGCACTTCAGAATATTTATTTCTGGGAAATGATTCTATTCAAGTGCAGGACGATGAACAAACCGTGTCAAATTATAGCCCTCATCCTGATTTGACAAGCTTGTCAGATCTAAACTAAATTTCTGTCTCTACCTGTGTATAGATTTTTAAAGTGACCTCAAACCCAAATAAACCTGGAGGTTCTCTCCAAAAGCCAAAAATAAGGTTTCACTATAACAGATTAGATTTAAGGAATTACTCAGTTTGAAAATAAATGTTTTTTTCTGTCAAAATGTAGGCGACTTTCACATGATACAAAACTTTGATGATGAAGAAGAAGAAATGAGACAAAGTTTCTTTTGTTTTTTTAAATTCTACATTGCATTTTATGTAGAAATAGATGCAAATATGTAATTATGAGAGTATTATATATATATATATAGTATTTATATATATATATATATATTATTATATATACGTATATATATATATAAAATTGTATTTATCTGTATCATATATAAGTATATATATATAGTATATATATATATATATATATAGTGCATGTATATATACACACATATATATGTATGTGTGTGTGTGTGTGTGAGAGAGTATTATTTTTTTCCCCCCTTTTGAGAAGTGTTGGGAGCACAGTCGTGAGAGCTCCTCCACTGCGTTTGCCTTATGCTTGCTGGAATAAATTGGTACCATATGGCACGATGACAGGATCACTCAATCTTCTGTGTACCTGAACACCACATTAATCATTTTTTGGGGGATATTCTTTCCCTTTCATCACACAGGAATTTCCAAATAGCCCCTGCCTTTATTTCTCTCACACATGTAGTGAATTTACATAAACAGAGTACACTCTGCCCTTGTTATAAGCCAGACTATTTGCCCAAGTTGGAGCAGGAGCAAAACAAAATGTTAAGGTTGGGTGTCAGGTGAGACTTTCTTCCTCCTAAACATCTTGACTTATTTTGATTGTGAAACATTTAGAACGAGGCGCATTTTTAAAATAAATCTTTTCAGATAAACCATAAAATTATCCACATGTGTGTATGCAAATAAATAACTGTGGAAATACACAAATCTCACACATCGCTTTTTTATACAAGTAAATAAATAATAAGTAAATTTTTAAAGCATTTCCACAGATGATCAAATGTTTGCACAGATTTTTTTTTTATCACAGTAATAATCATAACTGTTACTTTAAATGTAATTATTTGCACCTACCTTTATTGAATTGCTATGATGAAATTCCACATGTATGAACATAAAGCTCCTTCCACTAATTCAGCCTAAGAGTTTATAGACAGAGAAAGGTGAAGTGAGTAAAAAAAGGGTGGAGTGGCCCAGAGGTGAGAGAGACGAGAGAGAGAGAGAAATGGAGAGAATGAAAGAGGGAGAAGTGGGACAAAAGAGAAAGAGTGGTCTTTATAGCAATGTCCGCTTGATGAATCAGACATGTCTTATTTGTTGGCTGCACTGCCAGGGAATTTGCATTGATTATTTTCCCCTCAACAGATACATTTAAATCAATGTGGCACAGCACAGCCAGAATAGTGTGAGAAAATGTGCTAGGCACACAGTGAAGCCCAGAGCTTTAACCTTGGTCAGACAGGAGGAGCCACAGCTCCCCCTTCATGCCAAACAGATGAGATCAGGACTGAAAGCAGGACAGCACCATCTCTGATCTCCCAGTGAAAAAACAATCCCCCTCCTTCCACCCGTAATAACATTTCTACGGGCCAATATGTCTTCATTACACTGCAATTTTTCATATGCAGATGTGCCAACTAGTGTTTTCCCCTAGTTTTACAAAAGGATATATTTTGCTTTACACGTCACAGTTTTGCTTTTGTTCTGCTTTTTTTTCCTCTCAACACTTCTTAGAGGTTGCTTATAAAATCATGTTTTTATTGCTTTGTCTGTATTTACGCATGCTTTGTATTTGTAGTTTTTTTTTTCAAGAATTCAAAGAGGTCAGCAAAATTAGTTTGTTGTCATTTAACATTTACAGGAGGAACTGCTTTATTCGGCTCCGTATATCCATGTAACTGTATCTGCTTTGCAGTGGTAGGTATCAATGTGGTTTGACAAATGCAAAAAAACATTTTCCAGGCTTTCCTTATTTACAAGGTCCAGAATAGACTGTTGCATATTTTCTAAATGTTATATTAAATGTGAAATCCCATCTTTAAAACACAGCTCAGGTATGATTTGCACTGCAAGTATTTTTCTTTCCTGACAAAAAAGCAGGGTGTCAAGACTTCTTGAAATACGCTGTCAAAGATGTACTTTTATTTGTAAAAACGAGCTTCTCAAAGACAACAAATGCTGTATTTTTGTGAATAAGAAAGCACGATTTGCATCATCCTTTCACCACTCTATGGTGACACATACACTGTTGCTCAGTAAATGTATTTGATCATCTGGTATTTGCAAGCGAAAAGTAGGTTAGGTTATTATTTACTATCACAGATGCGCTGGCTTTAATGCAGACCCAGTGTGGATCACTGCTAATGCTCCATCACAGGGTCAGGCTTAAATAACACTTTGATTGAAGGTTTTTTGTCTCCTGTAATAAAGTCCTGTGCTGCCCTCTTGCAGTATGTTAAACTATGTGATTGCAGGGTGCCAGCAGCGTGACATTGTGAAATTAACATGTTGCAAAAGGCAACGTCTATTGTATGTTTCTAGTTTAAGAGAAAATCAGTTTTTCATTAATGTTGTGCTTTTTTCTTCTTCTTTTCCCCCCCATTTTCCAGATTTGTAAGCTGTGGGCTCTAAATTATGAATTTCACATTCTAATTGGATTGGCTATTTTTAACACGCATGCCCAAGATGCACACATACACCACAGACCACTCCTGCTGCCTCTCTTTTCCTGTCTCTCTCATTCCCCATCTCATTGATAATTTCTCCTGGAGCTTCAGCCTCTCACAGTGAGATCAAAGTGCCTGTCACACACTGCCAGTGGAGGATGGTTCAGGAGCATCACCCTACAATATATTATTCCTCTGTGGATGATGAAAGAGTGTGTACTGGGGTGGAGATGACGCTGTTACGAGGCAAATGCAGCAGGGGGCATGATATTAGGCAAACCAATCCACTCCTGGGCTGACCGTTACATTAGGGCTCTAAAGTTAAATTAACCCCTGAACGTGTTACTGGCAAATACGCCAGCATCTCAGAGAGATTTACTGCAAGTGCAAATTTGCTGCTGCGTGCGCTGCTACAACAAGGACCTTCATTTTAGAAAAAGAACAGGAAGTGTAGTGATTCATATTTTGAGCCAGTTTTGATAACAACTGGTGGCAACAAATTATGCAAAGTTTGCTCACTATTTTTTTTGTTGCGTCAAGTTGTTTGTTTGATTTTTTTTTCCTCTTGGAAGAAAAAAAAAGAAAAGAGAGGCTTTCCAATATCTCCTGACTGTCTCTCTTTTCTCTGAAAGGCACATCTTAAGTCTGACTAAAGCATACACTCGTCTCTCCCCTAGGGTGCAGTGGCAGCGGTGCAGAAAAAGTGAACTGCCGAGGACCCCACTGTTTAGCAAACACTCCTACTGAGGGGAGGAATTAATTATTCAGAGCCAAGGACCAAGGCAGCCCCATTTGATTGCACCACAAAAGAAAGGTCAGAGCTTTTCATATGAGGAACCTCCTGGTTGTGCATCCTGTCAGCTGAGGGGACGTGTGTAGGATATAGGGCTGAATGGCAGCTTGGCTAACGGCTCAATTAAAGGGACACAAATTTCTAGGTGAGTGTGTTCACCAGGTATGTGGCAAACAACAGGTACAATGCAATTACACTAAAAAAAAGAAAATATGATTAGCAGCAGAAGAGAAATGGGTGATTGTGCCAACTCTGCAGGAGCTGGAGCTAGAGAGAAAGAAATACGCCTATTTTATTTAGGAAAAAAAGAAGAATGCTGCTGGTGAGAATAATTAAAAAGTTATGACCACTGAAATCAGCTTTTGTATAAATTTGAAAAAAAAAAATCATTTCATTTTCCTTCTTCGCAAGTTAGCAAATGATCCATTACCGTTTGAATTGTTAATAGGCAATAATGGACTTCACATTTAATTAATAACATATTATTTAATTTTGTGCAAAATGACCTTCTAAAGACTGAATTATTAGCTTTCAAATACTGCAAATACAGTGTGGACACTTGTGGCAATTAATTGAGTCGGTGAAAGTTTAGTGCCAGGCTCCCCGTAGTGTGATCGTCTGCATAATCCGATCGAATTTCACCAAGAAAGGCACGCGTTTTTTCCCCCAGTCATGGTAAAATGCCTGATTTTCATCGAGTCCCTTCTCTCCACTCTAAATTCACAATGCTTAGCTCACAGAACAGACCATGAACATAGCAGTGCCGCAAAATCCAGCTACAGCATCCTTGGGGTTTATGGAGTAAATCTGCTGTCAAAGTAGAATACTGTTGAGGCCTCTTGGTCCGTTACTGTAGGTTATAATCTCTAAAAACTATGGACTAGTGAGCCCCAGCAGGGTGGAGGATGGGGCCGGGAGAGCAAATTCTACAACCATGCAACAGGGGGTGCCTCTTCACTCACTATTGGTGAGTGTGTGCTCCACACCAGAAACCAAACAATTCTATTGGCTCTCTTCAACACCCTGTGAGCCAATCGTGTATGGCCCAGCTCAACCATTCCATAGAAACCAGGCCTGCACCAGTAATGACATCAACTACTCCATTGAGCTCCAGTCTTCACCCAGTAACTCACACTATAGTGCTCAGTGTGTCTGCAAAAGGTCAAAAAGTAAAATGACAAAAATGTGAGGAATGCAACCTCACAAAATCAGCAAACTTTGAATGTTTTTAGAACATAAATATAAAAATGTTGTGTAAAAAGAAAAAAAATATCGGTGGTCTAATTGCAGGTAATCAGTCAGTAGGTTGTGTGTGCTAACTGTGGTGTCTTCACCTTAACAGTATGAATTAGCTCATTGATTTATGCTGCTGGAGCATTATGGCTGAATAGACAGATACAGATAGTAAAGAGGATAGGTCCTTTCTGGGATGATTTCTTGCAGATGGTTCAGCCATTACATCTTAGTCTCTCAGACCATTAATTTCCCAGGTAATAAACCCCTGTGTTGTTAGCAGGTCCCCTTCCCCCCTGCACCCTGTGCCGCGGGATGCAGCCGGGTGTAGCTTGTGAGTAGTTGCCAAATGGAGATGACAGTTTGCTCCATTGTTCATCAGTGAAACCACGGAGCCATGCTGAGTCTATAGCACATGGATGAAAAATTAAACTCAACACCAAAAAATTAACGTGTTGTAATACAGTGTGTTATTTCCCCCCACAGAGATTTCTATCACTGCTTCAGGTCTGCCTCGAACGCGTCCAATAGGGCTTGACAGATATAAAATTTTGCAGACATATTTAATATTGAAATTACAGACAGATGAAATTTTGCGTCAATATTCTAAATGTATCAGGACAGAGAGGCACAGGAAAAAGTAATTAGACATAGACACCAAAGTCCTGGGCGAAGCCTCATGTTCCAATTTAAAGTTTTTATTTCCACTTTCTAGATTTAGAGTTTCTCACTTACAGTAATCATGCAGTGTCAACGGAGATCTCTGTATCTGCTTAATTATTAACATACAGATTTTTCTTTTTCTTTTGCTTGTTTTTCTGCTCTGCTTCAATTTCTTCACAGAAGTGAGAGGAAATATTAAATTACTTTTTCCGCTTTAATATGGGCTCACTACCTTCTGGATGCATTGCATGTTTTTATGAGGGATCGCAAACAGCACAGGGTCTAAACTTACCGTAAGCACCTACAAATTCAGCTGTATTGAAAAGTATTATATCCTTTCACTAAAGCTGAGCGGGTTCGGTTCATGTTCTTTTCAGACAGATGTAGTGCAGCAAAGAAAGGCCAAAGTGAGAATTTATTCAGGATGGCCCAGGCATTATCTGCAATAGTGAGTGAGTGTAACCCTTATCAACTTTGAAGTCAGGGAAAATGCATGAGTCGGTGGGAATGTGAAAGCTTTTCTTCCTGATAGCACAAGTATTTCATCACATTTTACACCAGAATATACTGTACTGTTGGCTACTTTCAGTGCTCCAGCAATCCAAAGGCTAGCAATCGACTGTGCCAAAAAAAGAAAGAGAGGGGGGAAAACAATCTAACCTTGATTGTCAAACACTCCTTTGCTGTGCCAGCCTCATGAACTGAGGCAAAACAGCAACACAATCTACCCACTCATAACACAAGCGAGGATCTCTGGAGCAATAAACTGATTCTGAGAGCTCTC